TCTAAGTGCGGTCTGAAAATGCTGCTTTCACCGTTTTCAAAACGCAATTTACCCAAACAGATTAATTGCGTTTTCAAAACGCCACCGCACCAAATAAGCTGCCCCAAACGGACCCTTAGTCATTAAAAAGAACGCAAATTAGATGACAGCACGTTATGATTGTGCATACGGTAGCTTATTTCTAGTCAATGTAACCCAAAAGTTGAACCACAAGAATAACGTAGCCTAAGTTAAATCAAACTTGACTTAGATTCACTAAACTTTCATTAGTTTTTGAAGACCCCTTTATCCTTTGAATGAACAAGACTGTTTCTACCCCCACCATGATTCCTTTTACTTCCTCTAGCCACCACATAACGATTGATTATAATAGTGATCCCCATAAGTAGATGAGACTTCAATTTATGTAAACTGCATTTTAATTCTTTAGTTGCATTTAACATGCCTCTCATCAGATGACTAGATGCAAAAAATTTTTGTAAGCACTCACATAAGAGCCAACCAAAGAGAGCTAGATGCAAGAGAACACTAGCAAACATCAATAGATAGTTGTATGTGGATATGTGGATAGAGAATATGCGTGAGTTATTTTATGTGAATATGTGGATAAACACTCTCATCAGATGGCCTAGTAATAGAGTTATTTTACCCAAATCTTCACCTAGAACCTAGAAGTGAATATGTGGATAGAGAACCTATGATCATATATAGATTTTTGGATTATCTCCTTTAGCTTCATAAGCGTGGATCAGACAAGTGGGGATATGTTATAGAGAAAGTTGGGAGGGAAAACGGAGAAATAAAAGAGCACAAATGACAACGAGAGAAGGTTCAAAAAGCACCTACGTAGACAATGAGTAAAATGACCAGCACTGAAGCAAAGACATCAAGCACTCCCAAAGAAGACCATGTAAAAGACTAGAAAGAAAAATGAGCATAACTTGAATTCAAATGGAATATTGAGGGCTCACAAAGAGGTCCACAAGCTTGTAGTGTAAATATGAAAAAGAATGTTGAGCAGCATGATATTACAAAGGTGAACTAAAACAAAGTCCCAAAAATCACTCTTTGTTAGCTAACAATTAATGAGAATTGAGGTAGACCATGAACACAAACACCTGTGTCTAATTGAATCACAGACCTAATGCCAAAAACACTCTCAATAAGGCATATCGGTATGCTCAAGACCGGTGGCAGAATATTTGTTTATGAGCGGAAGAATTGGATGAAGATATATGGTCAACCAATCAATCATGGGATGCCTCAAATCATATATCCAGAGTAAACCAGGGTGTAGAATGTCAAAGTTCATATCCTTTCAACTTAAGGCCCAAAATTGTCTTCAACAATAAAGGCTTGAGAAGTCTAATATGGTTAAGGTTTAATGATATAACCAACTAAGTTACAATATATTGAGCGCCATAGATTCATATTAAAGTTGGCTCAAATAAATGCAGTGATAAAAGCCATCATAGGTGTTAATGATTGCCACTCACTCAGGCATTAGCATAGCCAACTCAATTGCCCAAAATAAGGTTAGACTCACTTGAAGGGAATGCATTCTAAGACATGGAGGACAGAGATTATGAGTGACGGGGTTATGAGACTCAATTCTTAAGATAAATCCTATTACTGTAAATGTTGTCATTTATTATAAGAATTGGAGAATTGGTTAAGCATTCCATTTCAAAACTAGTGTCGTATTTATAGAATCGTAGGAGAGTACCTAATTGAAAGAATAAAAATCGGAAAATAATAATTACAATAATCTATAAATCATATATAGGCAAAATAACAATTAAAATAGTCCTTTGATTGATGACTAAGTAGTAGAGAGATCCCATGGATCAATGAGGTGGAAATAGAATAGTAAGAAAAGAAGCATGTAAGCTAGTTTGCATGACTTCTTGCTGGCAAAAATTTAGTAGGCATTTCACACACTCTCAAATAAATGAATAAATACCATATATTCCAAGTTGCCAGATAATTTCTAAAAAGCTACCATTGATAATCCTTTAGAGAGAATGTCAACAAGATTTCCAAATTTTGTTACAAACAGACAAACGGAGTACAAATTAGACTATAATTAAGCTTCTCATTTATAAAATATCTATCAACTTCAATATATTTTATATTATCATGTTGTGTGGGATTATGTACAGTTGTAATAATTGAATTGTTATAACAATAAAATATCATAGGATATTTTCTTTTGGACGATAATTTGAATTGATGTTTTGCATTCCTCATATTGAGGTTATATTAACATTCAATTCCAAAAGAATCAGAACCAAAGCGGATGCTAGAAGTTATATTTTTATCTATTGAAGGAAATTTGTGATTCCATTAAAAATAGAAAACATAAACAAAAAGAAACACACCAATGCATGAATAAAGGATGCACTAATGAAAAAATTTTTGAGGCCATGCAATGATGAAAGTTGCACCAATGAAAATATGTGTGGTAATGTAATGATAAATTTGCAATAATAGAAAAAAATAGAAGAAAAGGAATATAGCGCAACAACTAAGACAAGAAGATTGAGTACTACATTTTATTATTTGTGAAATATTTATACAATTCTAGGTTACCTTGTAATTTGAAACATATAAAAATCAAGGAATAATAATTATTGAAAATTTAGAAAAATCAACAAATTGATGAACAAGTAGAATAATAATTAAAAAATGAGTTTATGAATTGATGAAAAAGGATCTCACGGATCAATGAGGTGACAAAATAAGAGGGAGAAATGAAGATGAATGATCTAGTGAGTGTGAGTCCCAACTGGTAAAGATTATGTAGGTGCATCACAATACACATGGTAAAGGATAGCTTTTTGCATCCATGATATGTCGCAAGTTGCAAGACTGATTTAAGTCAACCTAGCTCATTTCAAAGCATAGCTTTAAGCACATGGTAAAGTGGTTTCCAACGCTTTAAACAAATGATAAAGGGGTTTCCACCACTTTAAGCGTAGAAGTCACTTAAGCTTGAACATTAGCAAGGTTGAGCATCTCTTTTCAAAATCATATTTAAGAGATCTTATATATATATATATATAGAATATGTGGATAGAGCGAGCCACCTTTGTCAATAGGGCATAGTCGTAACTCTCACTTGATCAGTGCAATCCTCTTCCTAACTAGGACTAAAGACGATGAGATTGAATCCATGTTTAGACAATCTGATCCTTAACAAATGATTAAATATAAATCTTATATAAGAAATGGAGGGTATTCTATCTTCGTAGTCACATCATGAAATTATCAAGTCTAAACATAACCCTTTGTTAGCACAATAAAGTTGACAAATTTCAAATCAAACGATCAAATTTCCCGATGATGGCTGAATTGACAGAAGATTTTAACCAGAGAGAACTATTCTCAAAATTAAACTTCAAAGTCTAAAATCTATTTAAAATTTAATCATTTCAATTCCTACACTCGATCCTCTATAAGCAGGAGAAAGTTAACAAGGTTTAGATTCAATCATGTGCAATCCCAAACCCGACCTTTTACTAGCAAGATATAAAATTAATAGGGTCCAATTTTAATAAAAATTAATAAAATTTTAAAATTCAAAAAAAAATTATAAAATATTAAAATGAAAAAAACACATAAAACTAAAAAGAAAATATTTGTCCGCCCTCCGCACCAATTTATAGAGGGCGAAAATTATGATTGACATATAGTCAATGTCACATCATATATATTACTAAATTTACTCTCAAATCAATCTATGCCAATAAAGACGTGGTCTGTGTTCTCTGTCCGCGTGGCTTGGCCAGCCAGCTCCACAAAAAAATGTTAAGACCTGAGCCCTTTGATTGGGTGTTTTTTGTCAAATGACACTATTAAATTACGATCACGGTGGTGCTTATATGTTCCTCAATAGCTCTCTGCACTTTGAGACGTGAATCATTGAATATTTTTTATGGGGCACAAAACCCTATTTTAACTAAAGTCGACTTAAATTAGACCTCTTAGGCAAACTTTCCCAGGTCAATAAAGTTCCCTTAAATGAATCAACTAATGGTTGCCGACAATGATATTTTGGTTGTGTTGGGCCGACTAAATCCCCTGATTAAGTAGATTAGAGTCTACGACAACTCGGGACAACGAAACCATGGGATATTAATCGGGTGTGTCATCATTCTCGCAAAAAAAAAGGTCTTAAGCTCAAAGTATAAATTTTTATAATCTAAAAATTCAATCAAATTTCACAATGTAAAACTCTAAACCGTTGCTACTATAAGTTGAGTAATCAATATCTTAATGAGTTACCATAATCGATAATGCTCGCTCATTATCAAGAGCGATAATTAAACATAGAGGCTTGTGCTATGTGAAACCTCGAACCCTGTATTAAAAAGTCCTCAAAAATGTGGGTGAAATCTTTGTGCAGTGTCTTATCTACAATTTCATGTCTTCTAAAAAATTAACCCGAAACCTCAAGTAAACTCTCTCGTCATTCAATAGTCGAGAGGGGCCAAGGAAACAATTTTTTTAAGCCTGTGGTCAGCAAAAATAGGAGCAGTTAAGATAATTTTTTTTTTTTTTTAAAAGGACAGTTTTCAACGAATTTAATTTAGATAAATTACTTTTGACAAAATTTCTTAAGAAACTATTAAGAAGAAAAAAACAGCTTTTAGAAAAAACATTAGGACAATAGATGTCACGTTCCGAGTAAAACAAAGTTAATTATCTCAGACAATATATACAGCCCCCTTAGCCTATTAGTTGGAAGCTTAAACTGCCACGCAAAGATCTTAGATTTGAGACCTTACATATCCGATGTATGTGTAAATCTGACATTATATTCATTCAAAGCCCCTCGAGAAAATCTCAGACAATGACTTCTCACAACTAATTCATCAATGAGAAATCTTCTAAAACAGCAAATATCATTCAAAATAGCTGGTTAAAGAACCAAAATCAAATTGAGAAAAAAATTGTATTAAAAAAGTCAATACAATGAATCCGCAAAATCGCCTTACCTTGAATGCAGGTTCATCCCAACAAGGGAAGCAGCGTCTCGCATCGGCGGGCTCGAACTGGGTCACCGCCATATTCTTATTCTCACCATTATGCTTGTAAACACTATTGGAAAACATAATAAATATATAACATGAAAACTTCTAAACAAAACATAATTCAGATCAAGCAAATCAATGAAAACACCTTCTGTAAAATCCTTTCATTCGATCATTTAGGGTTCCTTCAAATCCAATCCACAAAAATCCTTCCCCGTGTGGAAGAACATCACTAAACAAAAGCACCAGTATTTCATCATTTTCAACTATGGTAATCTCTGACGGACGCAATACCTGAGATAACAAAGCAAAAAAACTTAATAAACACAATGGAGTTCACATAAACAAAGAATCGAACTATGCAGCAAAGTAACTACCTCAGAATAGCCATGACCACTGAACCAGACCGACTGATTCTCCACGGTGAGCTCGGCGGCATTGAGGACCAGGAACCGCGTATCCTCAACCACATCGACGGCGATCTCGACGGTACCGGTGAACTTGCATGCATCAAGATCAGGCTTGAGGAAGATGTCGTATCGCTTTGGGATAGCGAATTTGGGTAGGCGAGCTTGCCCTTTGAACTGCTCCAGGTTCTGTGATTCCGCCATTGCTATGTTTCCCTCCGGGCAACCGATGCCGTCTATATGGATCGTTGTATGATGGTTTCGTCTGGATTCAGAAATACAGAATTTCAATACAGTAGAATACTTGAATTACCCCTTAAAAAAAGTGAAATTTACATATCTAACATCCTATTCTTTTGTATTTACACAGTAAACCTTTATATTTACATATATGTTATTCGGTGCTTTAAAAGCTAAAACATGTTTATCACTATTAAAATATTTATAATAATTTTATTTTTTTATGTGATGCTAAAAATTTTAGCACCATACCTGTAAATATGAACGTTTAAAAATAAAAATAATAAAAATCACAAAAAATAAATAAATAAACAAATAAATATGAAAATTTAGATCTGAACTGTAAATACGTAAGAATTGGGCGAGATGTATTTAAAACATCAAAATAAACAAGTGCCACTCAATTCTCTTGTGTTTACATATCTACCACTTAAAACTTTAATCTTTACATATATTTCATCTTATTTATATGATATATTTTAGAAATTAAAAAAATAATATTTTATTGTGATATAAATGATTTAAGTGGTATAAATCTAAAAAAATAAAATTTAGTTGTTAGATATGTAAATACCTTAAGAATTGGTTTGTATGTATCTATCTATATATATATACATATATATATATATATATGATATATGTATACATGCCTATGAACCGTTTGATATGAATAATTCAACTTTTGGTTTGGGCTCATCATTTTGAAGATTTGGACCATCTTCTGTTTGATTGTGTGGTTGATATCCGATTATTCCCTCTCACAAAGCCTTATGAGGAAGAGTTTGTATTGTTTGTATCATGTACTGTCATGAACTGTCGAACATGTCGATGCTGGTGGTTAGATGGCGGCATTTTGACGCCCATTAAATCAGCCTATGGAGATATTATGATGGCTATAATTTTGTTTTTGTTTTTTTAGTATTTATTTCAAATTTATTATGGGAAGATTTACATTATCCAAGACCTTAAAATCAAATTTTACATGTATATGTGTGTGTGTAATATCTTAAATATTCATGAAAAAGTGTATTTTACTTTTTTTTTAATCAAAATAGTCATATTTTTATGTGATATTGTGTACATGAATATCGTAATATGGAGATTGATGGCCCGCGAGGAAGCAAGCTCACCTGTTGAAGTGTGGAGGTGGTTGGGTCAAGCTCGTTGATTGAAGCAGATGAATTGAGTTTGTTGGCTGAAGTGGTTGAACTCGATCGGAGAGGGTAGTCGGAATAGAGCAACATTAATAACGCCAATCATATTGATGGAGACACTCATAAATCCTTCATTACGAATGCCGTCGGGCCATCAAGTCAGTAGCAAGGGTTATACCGACCATATCTAACAGCCTCAATTCAATGTGTCATCAGGTTTCTATGGCCCTCATCCATTGGTGGTACTAGAGAAGGCGTTCCTTTTTTTCTCTCTCTCTCTCTCTCTCTCTCTCTCTCTCTCTCTCTCTCTCTCTCTCTTTGCTCCCTCTCCTTCTTTTCTCTCTCATCAGTTTTCAAAGGACCTCTCACTTTGCTCCGAGTTGAGGTTAATAAGGACCTACACCAGAGAGGGATAAGTTCCTCGAAGAATGAACTTTATTAGGCTCCCTCTCCTTCTTTTCTCTCTCATCAATTTTCAAAGGACCTCTCACTTTGCTCCGGGTTGAGGTTAATAAGGACCTACACCAGAGAGGGATAAGTTCCTCGAAGAATGAACTTTATTAGCACAATTCTAAAATTTAAGGGGAGTATTTGATCCATCTTTCTCTCTCTCTCTCACTTTTTCTATCATCTTTCGTACATTAACAGTACTTTTTATGAGTTACATGTATTCAAGAATGACATGAGATCCCACATCCCAAAAAAGATTCAATAGATATAAAATATTTTTGTCGTATAATTATAAAAAGTAAAGTTTAGGTGTTAGACATGTAAATTAAAAAAAAAACGTGATATGTATGCAAATATCCCTTTATCATATTGAATTCTATATATTTCTTCAAGCTGCTTAGGCATGTATTCAAGAATGACATGGAATCCCACATCCCAAAAAGATTCAATAGATATGAAATATTTTTGTGGTATAATTATAAAAAGTAAAGTTTAGGTGTTAGACATGTAAATAAAAAAAAAAAAAAGGTGATATGTATGCAAATATCCCTTTACCATATTGAATTCTATATATTTCTTCAAGCTGCTTAGTGCATGTATATAATTCATTGCTTATTTTAGAAATTGCACCAAGCATTTACGTTGGATGAATCTCTATTATTTCCATGCATTTAGGATGGTTGCATCTCCAGCCTAAGCGGGGTGGATTGAACAAGTAGTTGGTCAACAAGAGGGAATAATAGCATTGATCTGGCTACGCTATCGTGCATTTCACTTGGAACGATCATCGTCAGTGTCCAAACGTGCAGCATCGCACGTAATAATTTTTCGAACAAAAAAATAGAAATTATTAAATTAGTTATTTTCCTAAATGGTATGAACAACATAGAATTATGGGAAAAGTGAAAGTGCTCTTGATTTTCCTTCTAATTAACATAGACAAAGGGAAATGAAATTAAAAATTGATTGGCAAAATTGAAATGGCATTTCTCTTAAACTAAGAAGTGTGAACTTAAATACCAAGAGTTAGTAGGTAACTTGGGGGCTATTTGGCAAAGTGAATTAGTAGTGTATTGTAACTCTTTTGCAGGGATTTGAGAGAATTATGTGTTCGGTATAAAAAATTAAAAATACAATATAAAGTTTCAATGAATTTGAAGTTTACAATGTAATTCAATTGGACTTAATTTAGAATTTGATCAATTTGACTGAATTTAAACTACGTCATTCATGTAAAATGCTATATGCAAGTTGCTGCCACCCTTCCTCGTCGCGGCAGAACCTTTTCCTCGCTCACCCGTCGCCTCCTCCTTCAGTGGTTGTCGCCCTCCGCCATTGCAGTTCATCACCGATGCATTTCATCACCGCCACCGTTGTCGTGGGTCATCTTCGTCGGCCTCCTGCCTCGTAACTTGAAAGTATCTCATAATCACAGATGGGTAGCAAACTCATCGACATACAGAGCCTGCGAAATAACCGAATCATCTTGACGGGTAATCCTGTCATCTGGCAAAGCACATCCAGGTCATAAGGGCAGCGAACAATTCGTCGTATCCCAAACGGGCGACAACTCATCGGCAATCATACCGTCGAGATGATATCTACAACAACAAAAGGAGTGGTAAGGCTCGATAGAGGTAGTCAAAGGAATGGAGGAATAATCCCTATAAGGTAGAGGTAGTCGGGTTAGGGTACCACAGACCCATCATCCCAAGCTACTAGGACCCTAAGTCTACCTGGTTGTGAATGTAGTCGACCCAACAAGTACAATGATTCTCGGTCAGCAATTCATGAATTTTGTCAGCACAATGATTCTCGGTCAGCAATTCATGAATTTTGTCGTCCGTGAGAATCTTAGTAGCCTTAAAGTCAAAGGAATGAAACTCTATAATAAGACTATCAAGTGAGCTCAAAAAGTTGGGTGTTATACCCGTTGAAATGGTGAGCGCTACTATAAAAGAAGAGAATGAGATATTCAACTACAAAGTTGGAAACACTCCCAATAAAAAAGACTTACACCTCGTATGGGTCGAGGAGTTTTTAAAGACATATGCGCATCAGACAACCACCAAAGTAAAAATTTATGCTGGGTTAGTCTGATTTGAGAAGCATAGAGGATTCACCTTGATACATGCAAATGATGCAGTTATCTAGAGTGGTTCATAGATATTGTGGAGGTTCTATTATATGACTTGGGTGAGAGTCATGCTATGTAACCCATTTTAAAACCGACCCGAAGGACATGCAGGTAGGGCTGTCAAAACGACTCGTGTTCAGCTCACTAAGTAGCTTGTGTTCGATTCGTTTGCTAAGCAGACGAGCCGACACGAACAATTTTTTGTGCTTGATATATAAATGAGTCCAACACGAACAAAGTTTTGTTCTTTCGCGTTCGACTCGTTTTGGCTATATATATGTATATATATATATGCCTAATCTGCAGCTTTGGTTTTCTTAATCCCGTAGTTCTTTGGCAATACTTTCGAAGTTCCAAAAGAAACTCTCATGAAACTTTTGGATTAAAAAATACTTAGCTAGAAATGTGTATGGTTTGGTTATTGGCATCATTAGCTGGAGAACCTATGACTTGAACTTTAATGTTCAGCAATTGTTTTTTAATTAACTAATTGTAATTCAAGAATTAATATTGGAAATATATTAAATTCTATTTAAATGAATATTTTAACATAAATAACGAGATTTAAATCTTGCTCTACCCTTAACATCCTATTGTTGTATGATTATGGTTGTTGAAATAGCTCATTGTTTGTGAATAACTCGTGTTCAACTTGATAAATAAGTGAGCCAAACACAAATAAATTTTTTGAGCTCGATATATAAACGAATCGGACACGAACAATGATATTTTTTAACAAGCTAAGTCTATAGTCGCTCAAGCTCAATTCGTTTACACCCCTAATATAGGTTGTGAAAATGATTTTTTGTTCGTGAACAACTCGTGTTTAGCTTGCTAAGCAAACGAGCGGAACACGAGCTGAGCCTAGGCTCACTCGTGTTCGTCTTGTTTACACCCCTACCTGTAAGAAAGTAAAAGTAGGTTTTAAAAGCTATCAATCTTCTAATCCTAAAATTTTAATTATTTCAATCTTTCATTATTAGGCTAAGCTCGTGTTCCGCTCGTTTACACCCCTACTTGCAAGAAAGTAAAAGTAGGTTTTAAAATTTATGAATCTTTTAATCCAAATATTTTGATTATTTCAATCTTTTATTAGAAGGATTTTTGTAGAAAATTTATATTTTAAGGTCCTTAATGAGCCTAAATTATGATTTTCGTAGCATCCTCGATAAACCGCAAAACAATCCAAGCATGGAAATATGCTATAGAAAATAAAAGGAGTCAAAACATATAAGAAAGGCCAATGCCACTGCTCTTGACCCTCGATAACATATCCAAGGAAAAGTAGG